CCCATTTTTTTAATTGAAGTGACCTTTTTATATAATTTGATAAGACATTTTTTTTCATAAATTTATATTGATCGGCCGGCAATTGTATCATACTATACACAACCTGAGGTTATGAATAAACAAAGATGGGGAGCATGAGAGCTAATTTCAATTGAACTTGAACTAATTCAAGTGTTTATTTAGAAACATTTCATTGAGGTGCTGTTTGGTAAGTATTTTTAGGAAGATTTTGCCTAGATGAATGATATAATGAACTTATGGGGTCTTGATTTCAAAGATATAAATGGTTGGTAAGTATTCTAATTTATCATGATCTATAGAGCTGTTAAATGAAATACTTTAGGTGTAGAAAGATAGGAAGTTTCATTTGAAACTTCTAGATTTTTTGTTATTTTGGGCTTCTATGAACTTTTTAGGGCATAGAACCTTTTGGTTTTTGTCTTCCATTGCCAAATGGAAAAAGACCAAACTTTGAAAAACCTAAAAGTCGCACAAAAAGACTTGCCAAACACTCCCTTAGAGTAAGAGAAATCATAATTTAGGAACATTTTACATACATATTCAGCTTTTTTTAGTGGGATGTAGATTAGGATGCAAGTTACTCTTAAACCCCCAACCCTAACCTAACGTGACATATATTTTGCAGTTGGTTTTTGGTTGGGTTTGGGTTGGCCTGACTTGACTACCTCTTTTGCCAAATGTTTTTATTTCATAGATTTATGGCTTGAAGTTAATTAAGTTTTAGTATTATTTTATATAAAATACTGTAGTTATTATGCTTTAGAAAAGTTATCTTATAGTGCCATACATAAATATATATACATACATACATACTAACATACACATGTGTTTATATAAGATTTATATATACAAATATGAACATACATACTTATATAATATTTATAGATACATGAAGTTAAGTCAGATTTGGATTGGCCAAGGCCTCAATCTAAATCCGAATCCAAAGTTGAGTCAGGTTCATATTTTCAACCTTAAGTAGACCCAACTTAATCCAACTTTTATGGGTTGGGTTCAGACTAACCCGCTCTAGTTGCAGAGTTGGAAAATGCCATTCTAGCATTCTTTCTTTAAGAATATGAAGCATAAAAAGAAAAAAAAAAGGCAAGGCATGTATTTAAGGTAGATTTGATTATGGCAACAATTTTAAGAACCTATTAGCCTAAAAACCATTCTTGCTGCAACGTTCTAATGATCCAACTGTTCGGTCCAATCCGGTCCGGTCTAAGTTCGACAACAATGCTTAATTTAGCCCCGGCTTGCGGGTTCCATTATGAGTGGGTTGCTATCTTCATAATTTCCTTGTTTCTTTATTATCATAATAAAATTAAATGATTGGCCGACCCGGGTCGTCCCATATACCTTATACTCTATTATCATATAGCACTAGTCAATGGCCCCATACTCAAAAAATACAACTTGTATTGATTATTTTATTTAATTTTAGAGATTAAATTAGGTTATCTTAATAATTAAACAACCAGCTTTTCTAGAAGAATATGGGGGATATGTTAATGTAATGCCATGACAGCCTTTGATTTAGGAAACTTATATTCCCTTCATGATCAAAGTAAGTGAGCTAACTTTCTAATATGCATTAGGAAACAAACATGAATTTAGAAGTTAAGGTGAGAATGAACACACACCATTGTATATTTTAAGCGCAGATCTCCTAAAAGCAAAAAAGCATGTGGATATATAGGTTGAGAGTTCAGCATCCAGTCATACATTGAGAATATCTCTAATCTCTTATACTTGTATGTTAAATTCATAGGAGATGTTTCCAATGTATGGCTGGATGACGTGCTCTTAGTGTGTTTGCATGTTTTTTAGAAGAATTGGAACGTATCAACTTAATGCGACAACAATTGACTATTATTGTATTGATTTTTTATTCCAATTTGGAAACTTAGTTATATTTGTTTTATGATCAAAGGAAACGAGTTAACTTTCTAATGCGCCTTAGGAAGCAACAAGATTTTTTTAAAAGTTAGGGTAGTGAGAACCAAACAACATATTTTAATCATGAATTAAAATTTATTTATTCCCTTCTTCTAAGTGGGACACATAGTGTTTGAAGAAGCTTTGAGAAAGAACTATTAAAAAAATTGGATAAATCTATGATGCGGGAAAGATATGATATGAAAAGAGTTTTTATCAATCAAAACTCACTCATGAATTTTGATAAATAACACCTTATATGTTATCACCTTTATGATTCCACTTTATGGTAAATTGCTTTTTCAGATATCATATCATATCTATTTTTTGTTAAAAAATAACAAAAAAGAAGAGATCAGGTTTACTCCTACTCACAGAGTGCACCTCACACTAACCTCACAGTGCATCACAGCCTTGCATTGAAAGCATCATAGATTTATGCACTGTGAGGATGGTGTAAGACACTCTGTAAGGAGCAGATCTGAATTCAAAAAAAAAAAAAATCATGATTGTAATTTCAGAATTTGACTCTCTAGATCTGTGCTGTAACTTCAATATCCATCTTCGTGCCACCAATTATTTTCACTGCTTTTATAGTAAAACTTATGTTTAATTTGTCCCTTTTAAAGAATTTTTTTTTAATAAATGGGTGAACATAGAAATCAAATAACATCAATATCTGAAAATGTTTCATTTGTTGAATATATGCTACAATTCCCACCACCACACGCACACAGATACACGGATTAATAATTGTTTTCTCCCCTCAAAAAGAATAAGTTGCCTCTCATCACTATCTTCCTCACATGACAAACAGTCTCTCTAGACCTCTGATCATGTTATATATTATATGATTGATGAGCGTCTCTTTAAGTCAATTTAATCCATAAATTAGGCCTAGGTGCGATAGCGAAACCAATTGTACATGGACCATTAACCCGGATGCCAGATAGAGAGAGAGAAGGCCATTAGTTATGACTTTATGGTGGGTAGTCTAGGGTACTTCTTTGTTTTGTCTCTACTTTCTTTTCTTTTGATGCTTAATTTGACGCATTGTTTTCAACCTGTTCTTGATTCAGCCAGTTGCACTGTTTGACTCGTCATCTCGTCACGGATCTTGTTTGCGTTAATCCTAAAGCTACCCTTAAAGAAGATGTTGATTCAAGTGACCCATCAATCCATTTGACCGATCCATATATGATATTTAAATTTAATTTTATGACCTATTTAAAACTAAAGCAAATATTAACTTTATATATAGTTGTTATTAGAAAATTAAACCTATATATGTATCAAACTTATGAAATATATTATATATTATATATTCTATATATATTGATCTACTCGACTCTGATGATTGAACCGCTGCCCCGTCAACAAGAGGGAACACGGATCAACCCAGCTTTGAAGTTTTGTAAAGAAATTGTGCAGGATTTGATTGGACCAAATTACTAGTTTAGTACTTGTTTCCTTGTTTGCTTTAGTAGTTGTTCAGCCGACTGCCGACCAATAGAGTGGGAGAGGGAATTAACAATGTAGTTGGCAGTGTCATACTTTCGGGGTTAGTTTTACCGCAGAAGAAATACGTGTGGCGTCCAGATTAAGGTTGGTCAGGACAAGTCTTATGTGTGTTTAGGGTTAGGAGTTGTCCGATGAGATGGCTCCACCAAGTTCAGTGGTACTAGATCATGACCTCAGTTCACATGGTTGGGGCTCTCTGCTGGCTCTTTCCGATCCATCGGAGGCGCCACTTACATGTCAAAGGGGGACGACCATGATGAGAAGCGACTAGGCGCCAATGAAAGGGATAGCTCAATCATCTAGGACATGGGGCTGGCGAGGTGTAAGGACATGCTTAGGCCAGACCCATATGCCAAGCCTCTCTTCAGTGAGCGGAGGCGCAATGCCGGTTCATGCATTGTTCCCACGAGCATGTGTGCGCCCATGAGTAGGGGTGTCAACGGTATTCGAAAATCCGATTTTGAATTCGATATTTGGTATAATCGAATCAAATTCGAATAATTCGAATATCTAATCGGTCGAATTCGGATACGCTATTCTTACCGAATAGTTAATTGGATTCGAATTCGAATATGACCTGATTCGATTCGATAAATATCTGAATTCGACCGATTATTTAATTCTTATATATAATATATAAAATATTTTATATAATTTATATAAATAATTTATATATTTAAGTACTTTATATCAATAAAATATTTATTTTATATATTTATTAATTATCTAAAATAATTACTTAATCAAATTCGATTCGAATCGAATATTCGAATATTTAATCGGATTCAAATTCGGATATTAATTTTCAATATTTGTTGGATATCGAATCGAATTCGGATATCAGATTTTCTAATCAGATTCGAATTTGAATATTGTTTGATCCGATTCGAATGATCCGTTTACACCCCTATCCATGAGGAACCTTGGTAACCATGCTAGCCATTAACCAGGGCTGCCTCGCAAGGGATGTTGGTCTAGGAGTGCCAAGGTCAGGCATCCAAGGAGGTTGAACACCCTTCCTTAAAGAGTACGTTAAGCTTTTAGTAGTCTGCCTAAAGAAGACATGAGTTTCCCCAATAATCTTATTGGTAAAAATGACGGTGATATCCCTTAAGATAAGCCCCCCAAGCGTTGAAACACTAAGGCTGTGTCATACCGTGAAATATTTGAACTGTGTGCATGATCCACTAAAATGATCTCTGATCAGTATTAGTAATTTAGTGTGGTTCTATATCTCCCCTTCCAGTCTTGTGGTGTCCCTATATTCAATTTCTTTCATAGAAGCTGAAGAGAGAGAGATCCTTCCAGCCTTGTGGTGTCCCTATTCAATTTCTTCCGTAGAATGTAGAATGTTAGAAGTTGGAGATAGAGAGAGTTAGGCGCCGTACATTGAAGTAAAAAGACAAAATTAAAAAATTGTATGAGAAGACAAAACAAAAACTCTAATGGGGCACGTTGGAGTGTATGAGATTGAGAACTGTGGAGCGTGGCGTAAGAAGAGAGGACTCTGGACTCCGCTCCCATTATATATACTCCTCATCACTCTGTCACTCAGCTCTAAGAAGTAATCCTTGGGTTGTGTTGTAGAAGTGCAAGAGAAAGATAAATGGGTAGGCGGCCGTGTTGTGCCAAAGAGATGGTCAAGAGGGGAGCATGGTCAGCTCTGGAGGATCGAATACTCTCCAACTACGTCAAAGCCCATGGCGAAGGAAAATGGAGAGACCTCCCTCGGAGAGCCGGTAACTATCTCAGTAGATAATTAATTCGTATTAAGAATCCTTACCGTTTTCATTCGCTACTATCTGTTGTGTGTTAATGAATTCGGCGGTGGTTTTTGCAGGTTTAAGCCGATGTGGGAAGAGTTGCAGGCTCCGGTGGCTGAATTATCTGAGACCTGGTATTAAGAGGGGAAACATTTCCACCGATGAAGAGGAGCTCATTATCAGACTCCACAGGCTCCTTGGTAATAGGTCTCTCTCTCTCTCTCTCTCTTCAACTTTATTAGATATGGCCATGAGTGGAGTTAGAAAGGTGATGATTTGATGGGAGCACTCTCAATTATTAAGGAAACAGTTCAATGACTCAAGAAACTGTAAATTTGTTCTATTCTTGAGTTGAACAAACTGAGCAAAAAAACACGGTAGATCTTTCTCGCATGAAAGCATTCCTCTCTGAAGTCTGAACATCAGTTACAGGGCTTTCAGGCCGGAAGCCATGTGATCTCTACTGCTAGATGGACGATGATTAATCTAGCAAGTAGCAATAATTAGTACTGGGAAACATTTCTTGGAAGCTATAGGCTATAGCAGAGAGGTCCCATCACATTTGTCATGGAGCTCTTCTCTGGTCCACTCCACCAGGGCTTACACTTGGAAAAAGGACAAAATGGGAGGCACTCTTCTCTTATTGATCCAAATGTCCCTGGCGTATTGTCCTTTTCATGATGAATAGGCGAAAATACCCACATGAACTTGCTTGCTGCTAGGGTGGTGGAGAGAACACGTTGAGCTTCGGGAATCACATTAAAAAATTCCTTAAAAAAATCACCCATCCAGCCAAGCTATCCTACCAAAGACAAAAATACAAGTCAGTTTATTTACCAAAAAAAATAAAAAAACTAACAGATAGAAAGTAGAGATGAAAAGGATCCAAAGAAGAGTAACAGAGATTTTCCACCCGGCCAAACTGGACAATATTGAACAACCTGTGTGAAGTGTAATGGTTGTTATTTGGTCAAAATTGGATTTGTTAATGGAGAAAGAGAAACAGAAAAAGTAGTGTCTAATTCTAGGCCTAGGAGCAAGGAGGTGTCATTAGTTCATTTCTGAACTGGTTTTCATTTGGTTGTTACTTGTTAGGAGTCTCAATTTGTTAGTCATGAAATCACTCAAATTGAACTCCTCGTCTGGTTCTGGTTAATGGGTTTGATGAAGTGAAAGTAAAAGTTGATTTTATACCCAGGCTCAGTAAACTCGAGATCAAATCCTGTTTTAAATTTGCAGGTGGTCTCTTATAGCAGGAAGGCTGCCGGGTCGAACAGATAACGAAATCAAAAACTACTGGAACACATACTTGAGCAAGAAGTCGCAGGATAAGACTCCACAAAAAGGATTCAACCACCCTGATAAAGAGAAGAAGCCTGTGAGGAAATCCACAGTTGAAGTGCCGAAGGCTGCAAATTGTTCCACTGCTATTCGAACTAAAGCCAGAAGAAGCACAACTCAGGTGGTTCTACCAGAGGAAGACGGAAAAGAAGGACATCAGAGCATTAAGACAACTGATCAGAGTACTGCTGCTTCAGATGGTGGGATTATTGGTGAAAACTTGTCATCTTCAGCTGGACAAGGTGATGATTGTTCAGATTTTCTGAAGGATTTCGACAGCAGTGAACTTTTCATGTCAGATTTTCTGGGCCAAGCTGATTTGTTGCAAGTTCACGGTGAAGGAATTAAAGAGAACAATAACTTGATCGATAAAGATATGGTTGAGAATAACTCTTCAACATTTTCTGCTTATAACAATCTCTTATCATCAGACGATGTAATTCTTGAAGATTCAAGCTATGCAGCAATACTTGAAAGTTGGCTGGATTGTGACTCTCTTCAACCCAATGAGGATCTAGAGATCAATAGACTGGCCTGTCCCCTTGACTTAAAAGAAGAAAGGAAATGAAGGATTGATAATATACATTTCTGTAATATTACTTAGAAATTCATCAGCTTGTTTTGAACATATTTTTTTTCTTGGAAAATCTAAGTACTTGGCAATGTTGGGCATTCTGAATTTGGTCATATGGATGTTAAATAAAACGCAAATTCTATATATGGAAATCGAGGCTCAAATGGCTTACCATTAGGTCTGTCAACGGATGTCTGAAAGTCTAAGGCCTCATGATCCAGCAAACTGATCTGATTATTTCGGATTCAGATGGCCTATTTATAGATTCAGATTATTGGATGCGGGTTTGATCACATCTGATCTGATTAGGATCCGAGAATCCGATTAAATTTTAATATAATGTATGCGCATAAATGGATAACAAAATATAAGTATATAAAGCTTATAAATAATAAATTTAGTGTTTTTATTTATAGAAAATTCTTTTGTTTGTACAAGTTAAAAGTGATCAACTTTTCTTTTAAGTTTTTAATTAATTTTTCTTTATTTTTAGAAAATGAAGCGGATTCGGATGTGATTGGGCCGAAATTTTAAATATCGGACTGGATTCGGATGTAGCTGAATCCGATTTAAACCCAACCCGAAATTACAACCCTATTTACCATTCCCACATGAATGCATGATTAATTGATTATTACCTAAGGGCAGGCCTTAGGTTTTTTTTTCTTCTTTTTAAATCAAGCCACATTTCTCTCTCGCTTTACAATAATACTTCTATTTCTTTATGAATAGCGATGTAAAATGTTATCATTGTAAAAATACACTAATGCATGAAAATGACCGTAGAAGCATATAAAATTTTACATCGATAAAATCGATGTAATTTTTACATCGATTATCCTTTTAAGAAGTGGGAATACTTTTAACCGACATAATCATAAAGAGGAATCTGATTTGATCATGTACTTATTAAATAATAATTAATATCAAAAGTGCCATTCATCTTTATACTTCGTTATTATGGTTGATTTTCATATGGCTTATTATTCATAACACCTTCTTCCTGGGATATTTATTTATTTTATAAAAAAACAAAAAGTGCTAAACCCCCACAAAGTCACTACACCAAATAAAATCTAAGTTCTAGGAAGACAAACAGGATAAGAAGCGATGACACCATCGTAGACAGAGTGCCCCCTATTTCCTTTTCGGAAAATACGGACAGGCTTAATGTAGATTTTTTATTTTCACTGCAAAGTAATAAATATTGAGAAGGTCCAAAAACCATACTTTATACACTTATATTTATCTGTGAATTAGCATCAATTTCGAGTTGGCACTTATCCCAAATGTACTTTGAGCCTATAAATTTTGACTCTGGGGTTATCGGTCATTCTCCCTTTTCTATTTGGATACGTCATGATAATAGTGGTTCATTCAATTTTGTTCGAGTCATTTCACTTTCTACTTTCCTGGCTCTATCTATCGAAGCCTTGGCTTTGATTGAAAGCAATGTTTTAAAAAACGACCTAGGAATTGTTTTCCCTTTTGAGTCACTGGTAAATGGTTTTATCATCCAGGTCAAACGGATTAACCTGTGATGAAATAAATGTAAACAAAAATCAGGCTCTAATAAGCTTATAATAGTTTATATGCATTACAAGAAAAGACACAGAATTGGATTTATACACATCACAAGAAAAAAATAGGGAGAATGATGATTCAGCCCAGGGTCAAAATTTTTAGGCCCAAAGTATAGTTGGGATAGGTGTCAACCCGAAATTAATGTCAATTCACAGACGGGCATTAGTGTATAGAACGGGGGTTTTTGACATTTTCAATATTTATAGCTATGCAGTGGAATTCAGAAATGTGCATTGGGCAGGCTCTAATAAGCGTACAAGAGTTTATATGCATCACAAGAAAAGACACAATTGGATATATATACATCACAAGAAAAAAAATATCCAATAAAAATTAATTTATACGCATCAGTTCTCGTAATGACACAGAATTGGTTCGTACAATCTTGAATAAATAACTCTTTAAATTAGTTAAAAAAATTGTAAAATGAATAATAATTTTACCAAATTTTGAGTCCCAAGGAATTCGTTTTAAACTCGTAAACCGTTGTTTGGGTCGAATGATTCAACGGTTCGAACAACCGGATCAACATTTTGCTGACTTTTTCAATGATTTTTATTATAACTTCAGGTTAGAAGGTAAACGGAACTGATTAGTAACCAATTTCCATATTGAACAGTTCAACCATCCAGATCAACGCGGTTTAAAAACACAGTTGAAAGTATTAAATTTGCGAAGGTGATGGTAAGCTAGTCAATGACTCTTTGTTGGAAGTAATCCCAAACCCTCCATGGAACGTTTTTTTGCTCATTTTTTCTTGCAGGAGCCTTCTTTTTCACCTTTCAAACTCCTCAGTAAACTTCACTCCTAGACCTTGCCTTCTGATGTTACTTGGGATTTTAGTTGAATGGATGAGCCTTTGGGCGTTTTGGCACTTGTGGCTGCAGCAGTAACAAGATTTTCCTATTGGGTTTTTACATTCTTGAATCTGTGTGTACATGTTTTTGTGTATTCAATTATTAAGTTCGTAGCCTGTTCATGGGCCGCCCTGATTTGGCCTGTTCTTAGTCGGGTTTAGGTAAAGATTTTAGGCCAATGGGCTTTCGTAAAAAGCCTCAAAATAATCTTATTATCCAATTTCTTAGTTGAGCTTCGGGACTTGGGCCCAGACTTTGGGGTTTATAAGAGGGATGGGCTTGGGCACAGGATGTAGGCCTAACAGCCGGGTTGGATTTGGGTTCGGGATGAACATGCTTATTAATATAGAGGCAAGGTGTAGACCAAATCTGGCCCTTGAACAAGTCTAATCTATACATGTGCTATTGTATAGGTGTTGATTGACTAAAGAAGACCCTAAGGCCTGCAGGTTTAAAACAGAAAATCATGGCCTTAAATATACTACAATGGTCCCAACCATAATTCAAGATGAGGCCATGACAACCGATGAAAGGTTTTGATTTAGACTCCGTTTGGTGTGTTTTTTCACACAATCTGTTGGTTATTTACAAGCCCAGTAGATTAAGATTCAGTCTTTTCCGTTCGGTTTGCAGTAGATTTAGCCACCAAAAACCAACATTCCGAAAAGACACAAGAAGCACAAAATGGGTAAATTTCGAAAAGCTCTAAATTGAGTTTTTACATTTTTTTATTCATCTTTGCACGGAAAGATGCACAAAAAGACATATTTTAATGAAATGAGTTTCAGACTATTCAGATCTTAATAGAAAAGTTGAAAATCTTTTCAAAAACACTTGCCAAACATCCCCTTAATTGTTCAGCGCAGGCCTGCAACACTGTCTTAGCAAAATATGGTTGATACAAAAGTCGGCTAATCCAAGAATTGTTGAAGACACAAATTCCCCAGTCACCTGAATCTGATAGCAGGGCAGCAATAGGAGATGGTGTTGTGAGGTCATCAACATCAAGTAGTAGGGGAAGTATTGCCACCTGGAGTGGTGGATGACTTTGGTTAAATTCCAACCGCTCTTTAAATATTGCTCTATGTCAGTCACTATGTGGGTCGGGGATGGAATATAGAAGTGAAAACTAATGGAGATGCGGGAACTTGGATGGAGAGAATGTTGAAGATCCTAGAACACAAGGAATTAACAAGAAAGGTTGTTCAAAGGGGTCATTTACTAAATTCAAATGTTTTAGGATTACCCGTTGTGGGGTTTTTGATTACTTGAAACAAATTTTGGGGTGGTTAAAAAAAACCAACAATCCACCTTTCAAAAAAAAAGGGTCATTTACTAAAACATCCCATATGGTTTGAAATTGATAATTTAAATCGACCTCTCTCTCTCTCATTCAACTACAAAATCTTGGTTTACATTTACCTACAAGGAATTTTTTCACATGTATGATAAGTTTTTGTGGCCTAAAATGGTTGCGATGTACGGGCTTTGTTAAGTGAAAGTTAAAGAATAGAAACACATAAAACTATACAATTGTTTTATATTTTAATTTTTAAATAATTAATAATTATTTATATTTTATATATTATTTTTAATATTTTTTTACAATACAAAAGTAATAATAATAATTAATTTTAACTAGGGTTATTTGTCAAACTGATGAAACCGACCAATCCGACCTAACTCGACTCGAGTTGGTTGGTTTCTAATATTTTTTATTGGCTTTTGTTCAACAATTTACCAACATGACTAGGTTGGATCAGTTTTGGTTTGGCCATTTGTAAATTGACCAAAACCAAAATAACTTGACCATATATATATATATATTGTATTTTTAATATATTTTTTAATACGGGAAAGTGGGAAAATTCCCATATTCCTTAGTCTAAAACATTTTGTATTATATATTTAATTTTTTAACTTATTTGTTTAATAATACCACTATATTTTTTAAATTCAAATTTAATTTTTAAGTTTAAATCTTTTGAACCGATCAACCAAACTAAAAATTGACCTAAATCGATACAACCCGAGTTGACAAGTTTTCACTAATGGCCTGCAACTCGGGGTGTTAACGGTATTTGAAAATCTGATTTCAAATTCGAGATTTGACGTAATTGAATCGAATTCGGATAATTCAAATATTTATTCGGTCGATTTCGGATATTCTATTCATATCGAATAGCTAATCGGATTCGAATTCGAATATGACCTGATTCGATTCGATAAATATTTGAATTCAACTGATTATTTAATCCTTATATATAATATATAAAATAGTTAAGTGTTTTATATAATTTATATATTTTTATACTTTACATAAATAAAATATTTATTTTATATATTTATTAATTACCTAAAAAATTAATTGGTCGAATTTGAATCGAATTGAATATTTTAATATATAATTGAATTCAAATTCGAATATTTATTTTCAATGTCTGTTGAATATCGAATCGAATTTGGATATCAGATTTTCTAATCGGATTCAAATTCGGATATTGCCTGATTTGATTCGAATTCAATCCGTTTACATCCCTACTTGCAAGTGAACTGAACCAACCTATAGGCACTTCTAATTTCAACTAAATTAATAGTCTAAACTCTAATAAATAACAATAGTTTAATCTCTAATAATTATTGAAAATTTATAGAAAAAATAAATAATTATT